TATCTCATCGTTTTTGAAAAAAAGATGAAATCTTAATTTTTAACTAACAGTAAAATCGGTGAAGTCACAGCCTTAGTTTAATTGACCAGTGAGGAGATATCATGAATTATTTCTTTTAGGAAAAGCGAATTTTTCCAAAATTCCTATTAGCTTTAATGGACTATAGTGGTCGGTAATGTGCAGTTAACATGGTTAGAAAGCAGGAGTTATTTCAATTTCAAAATTCTATTTGTTTCGTGTCTGACATTAATAAGGAAATAGAAACTCTGTTTGCCTTAAATATAAGCAAAATGGTTACCTAGTTAGATAATTCGTGTTATCTCTGCGAGTCATAACAAATAAATTTGATGTTAAACGGTCACCTCTATACAGTCTAAACGGAACTAACACGAAAGATACATCTAGAAGCACACCGTTCCGCGGTCTTGAGTTTACGATCAGTACACCAGAATAAAATATAACAACTCTACTAGACATTGAAATTCGGAGAGAATTTAAGCGAATGATTATGAGGTCAGCAATGCCAACGCATGCTGGTGTTGTCATGTGATAAAAACAATGAATTAAGTAGACACACAAACAGGAATGTAGACAGAACAGACATCCAGTTAATTAATAGGGTTCGCTGTTTAAAATTGGCTACCTTGAGCATTCAAAAATGCATGACAGCAGCTTACTCAATGGGTGAAATAAAGGAGCATTCTCAAATGTGGACATGTTAGATAAACCATTAATAATTTGAATAGCTGGTTGTGCGATAGACATACCTCCATGTGGTGCACCCTGGGCAACGTATGCTCATACGGTAAAAAAGTCTATTAACTGGCAGTTGACTTCTCACTTCAAACTACCATCACCTCACTCTATGCCATATTTGACTACTTCCACAGTACTTACCTCACCTTTTTTCTACCTTTGTGTCTGTCTCTTTCACATCAACATCTTTTACATCAAAGCAACCAATGGAAAGATGATAAGTGACCAAATTGTTTATACAGGAAATTTCATTACAAAAGACGAGCGCAAAGACCTCAAAGCAAAATCTAAATTCACCAATTGTTACATCAAGAACTTTAGTAATGATTTGGACGACGAAGGCCTTACAAAACTCTTTGAAGAATTTGGTGAAATAACGAGTGCACGCATTATGAAGGATGATCAAGGCAATTCGAGGTGCTTCGGTTTCGTTTGCTTCTCTAATCCTGACAGTGCTGAAGCAGCAGTGGACGCTTTGAATGACAAAGAGATCAACGGTCTAAAGATCTACGTGTGCAAAGCACAAACAAAGACAGAACGTCAGGAATTTCTGCACAAAGAATATGTAGAGCGACAGAATAAAGGATTGCCAAAAGATGGCGTCTTTGTTAAAAATCTTGATGATACAATTGATGATGCCCGCTTAAAGGAGCTTTTCAGTAAATACGGTAACGTTACCGGCGCGAAAGTTAAGTTCCTTCGATAATATTTCGGCTTTACAGTCATTGATCTGAATTAATGAACATAAAAATGGGCATTTAATCTGTGTTACACCAAGAAATAAGTCGCAAGAAAGATAACAAGAATCATACCGCTTTTTCTAGTACGGCATCACTGATTACGACCTTGAGAACAAAGGATGGATTCAGTTTAAGAATCATTCCTGTAATTTTACTAGCAAGAGTAGGTTCGCTCTTTACTATTTTTTGGTAAAGTATGTTACCATATGCTTGACGCTCATCCGAAGTTAAATGCTTGTTTTCGACACCACTTTCAGTCCCACCCGCAGAAGACCCCGACGCTTGTCCTCCAGTTACAACATTTTTCCCCACACCAACAGGTAAACCAATGATAGAGGATCCGTGATAAAGAACTGTGCCCACATTATGAGGACTATTCGCTAACGCGAGCATGTTCTGAAGCATATTTGGTTGGGAAAAAGGGGCAGACTGCAAAATGAATACGCATAATTACGTAATAAACCACACTAAATTAAGTCAATAAAGCAGATTAATACAAACCACGGATAAATTTTGAAGTGATCCAGAGCCAGTGGTTCCTAGCATTCGACCGAACATATCAGAAAGTTGAGTTTCACAGTGATGTCCAGCAAATACAGAAGCTGAATTAAGTGTCAAGTTATGGGCATCAGCTTGACAATGGAACCGAGAGTCGACGAGAACACCATGAGAATCTGCTTGCAGATATGCAGAAGCACAAGCGCACTGATCTGGTAAGTACGCCCTCAAAGGTGAGATATCTTCGATTCTAGAACAACCAACTGGGTGACCAGCCATATCGCGATTCCCCCTTATAGGTGGGCTACAAGGTACATTAGGGGTGATGGAAGGCTGAAGTCCATTGACAGGAATTTGTCCATAGAAGCCAGGGGAAGTATGAGGACTTAGGG